TATATATATATATATATATATATATATTTATATTTATGCACAGCATAACATTGCATGCAGTGCATGCATGAACTGCATGCATGCACTGCATGCATATATATATATCTATGCATATGTATATGTGCATGCAGCCCCAAATACGCAGGATAAAAAAGAAATAAATAATTATTCCCTTTTTCTTTCTTATTCTTCTCCCTTTTTTTTTTTCTTCTTTTTCCTGCTGCTGCTATAGACAAGAAGATTCTTCCCCACAAACAAAGACAAGAAAAAACAACAGGGGCAACAACAAGACCCAATTATACGCAAATTAAAGCCCCCCAAAAAAAAAAGGAAAAAAAATGCATGCAAGGAGGAAGAGGAGGAAATAAATAAATAAATAAATAAATAAATAAATAAATATATTTATTATCTAATTATCTACACACTAAAGCAATAATCATTATGCAGGGATATAATCATTATCCTTATTAGGTGTGTGGGGGCCCCCTCCATAGGGCCCCCTATTCTCCTTGGTGGTTGGGGGCCCCCCAACCTTGTGGGGCCCCCTCCTCCATCATATCCCTTGCAAGGCATCTTATATGATTGTACATAGATGCAAGCTCGTTGCTGCTGCTGCTGCTGCAGTTGCTGCTGCTGCAGCAAACAAATATAACGCTGTGCTGCTGCATGGACCAACAAATAGATTAATAATAAGATCTATTTGTGGTAAAAAACGAAGAAAGATGCAGCAGATATTTATTTATTTATTTATTTATATATATTTATTTATGCGGTGTATATATGTGTATGTATGCATGCATGCATGCATGCATGGAATGTTATATGGCATCTACTATGATTTGTTCCTCCATAAGATCAACAATTGCTGCTGCTGCTGTTGCTTCTAATTCTGCTTCTGCTGCTGCTGCAGCTTCTGCTGCTGCAGCAGCTTCTGCAGCAGCTTCTGCTGCAGCAGCTTCTGCTGCAGCTTCTACAGCTGCTTCTGCAGCAGCAGTTGCTGCAGCTTCTGCTTCTGCTGCAGCTTCTGCTGCAGCTTCTGCTGCTGCATCTGCTACAGCTTCTGGTTCTGCTGCAGCCTCTGCTGCAGCTTCTGCATCTGCTGCAGCTGCTTCGGCATCTACAGCACCTGCTGCATCATCATCATCATCATCATGAGCTGCTGCTGTTGCATCTGCTGTTGCATCTGCTGCTGTTGCATCTGTTGTGAGTATATCCATAGATGTATGATGATGATAATGATTAGCAGCACCAGCAGCAGCAGCAAGTGCTTGTTCTGCTGCAGCAGCAACATGATCATCTTGTTGTTGTTGTGTTGTTGTATCATCATCATCATCATCAACATCAATATCATGACCACTAGCAGCAGCACTAGCACTAGCACTAGCAACACTAGCAACACTAGCAGCAGCAGCAGCAGCAGCAACAACAATATCTGTACTATTATCTGTTCCTTGTGTATAAAATAATTCATTAAATCTTTCATGACATGTTTCTTGTATATGTTTATCTCCTCCTTCTCCTTCTTCTCCTCCTCCTCCTTCTTTTCCTTTTTCTTTTTCTTCTTCTTTTCCTTCTTCTCCTTGTTGTTGTTGTATTATCATCATCTGTTGTTGTTCCTGTTCCCCACCACAACCAAAACCACCACCACAACCATCACCAGAACCATCACCATGACCATCTCCACCTCCTCTTCCTCCTCCTATCCCTCCTCCTCCTATCCCTCCTCCTCCTCCTCCTATCCCTCCTCCTCCTCCTGTTGTTCCTCCTCCAATCCAATGTGCACTTTTTTTCGATAATCTAAGACCAAATGAGAATAATCCCCATTGATATGCGATTTGCCATAATTCTTCAACACGTGCATGTGATAAACGACGAAATGTAATACCTAATCCTAATAATGTTGAATTACAAAAATCTTTATGCTGCAGCAACAGCAACAGCAACAACAGCAACAGCAGCAACAGCAACAATAATAATAGGGAGGGAGGGATAAGAGGAAGGAGAGGGATAGGATTGGATATTTATACAAAAAAAAAAACACAAAAAATGACCTAATATTCATACAAATATACAACAGCAACAGCAACAGCAGCAACAGCAGCAACAGCAGCAACAGCAGCAACAGCAACAGCAACAGCAACAGGAGTATATTATATTATATATATATATATATACCTGTCTATGTACAGCTCGCATGCGTTTGATGAGTTCAGCTCTTCCTTCTTTTCCTAATGGATAACGGAAACCAAAATGCCACTGCGTAGTAGTTGTAGTACTGCTGCTGCTGCTGCTGTTGCTGCTGTTGCTGCTGCTATTTTTTGTTCCTGCTCT